AAGACCCAGAATGAAATGGGTCTTCTTCTTGTTGATAAATTAAGGAACTAATCTGGATATATACAAATACACCCACTCAAGAAAAAATCAAAAAGATTTCTTCCTTTCTTTCTTTCTTTCTTGGTCTTTCAGAAATCAGAATATCTTCTTCTGTAGGCTTTAAATAAACGACGAGATTGATCGGGCCTACGGGGGAGATATGGGAGAGGGGAGAGAAAGGGGGAGGGGTGAGAATTGTGTGTGCTTCTGTGCACTGCCAGTTCACAACAGCTGCAGGAGGGGAGTAATTAATGAATGTGTTTGTCTGTGGGATGGATGGATGGTCAAAAGGGCCAGAGGGGAGTGGAATGGTTCTTATGAATGAATAATATTGTTAGGATTCGTTCTGCCACAGAATGTGATTATTTATTACTTGCAGACTCTTATGTCTCCCTCTTTTTCTTTTTTCTTTTCAAACAAATTTTAAAAAAAATCTCCCCTTTTTATTTTTTATCAAAAATACTTGGGATACACTAAGTTTGTTGTATCTCAAATTATACACTTTTCATGTATTCATCACTCATTTTTATCCAGAACTTGAAAATGTATAGTGAATGCATGAGTGTTGTACAATTTTTTATGTTCCAAGATATTTTATACTTTACGCAAAACAAAATAGAATTTCAATTTTTTATTGGTTTTATATAAAGATTGATATAAAAACTAAAAATAAAACTTATATACTCCGTATTTAAAAACTACGTTAATAATTTTACAAAATAAGAGATGACAAGAATATTTTATTTTATCAAATAATAAATCAAAACACACAAAAAATAAAAATTTTCATGGCCAAAATCCAAATCCCTTTTTGCCTTTTTTTGTATACCACGTTTTGAATCAGATCAGATCAGAAACAACTTTAAATATAGTTACAACCAGATCAGACGAGATCATATCAGGTCCAATCAAATTAGATCAGAACAACTTTTGAAAAGATCATATCTAATCAGATCAGGTATATGAAAGTAGTCTAAAATTTAAAATTGTATGAAATTAATAGAACTTTATATTTCTATCCCTAAATAAACATATAAGCACAGAGCAAAACCACAATTAAGAGGGTGAATGTTGTCATTTTACCATATTTTTTTGGCATCACATACTCACACTCTTTGGCATTATAAGTCTTATTGATATAAGGACATTAGAAATTTTATTTTTGTTGTAATTAAGGTCCCGTTTGGTGTACGGAATTCAAATTATAGAATTGGAATTGAAGACTTTAATTCCAATTACTTGACCTTTATTTCGGAATAGATATGGAGTATCTCAACAAGCTAGCTATTATTACTTCATTTTCTACTATCTCAATTGCATGTGTGGGAATGATGAGGAGCATCCAATATTTCTCAATAATGATCATATATTATATATGTCTTCGTTGAAGAGTGGTTGTACAATATTCATGTGCATACAATTACTATACTAAAGAATAATTCATTTATAAAAAAAAAAGGATCACTCACTCAATTTCGGTGGCCCTACATTGGCCATGCATGCACCATGGTTTTAGCGGAATCAAAGAGGTAAATTGCAAGATGTGCTTCAACGGTAGCTGGAATATATCAACGGAATCAAAGAGGTTCCATCCGATATTTGTGCGTTTACAAATTAAAGTTAAATAAAACTCTTTTGCACATTATTTTCGTATCTATATATGCTTAGAATATATATATATATATATATATATATATATATATATATATATATATATATATATATATGTAGAAATATTGAAATAATAATATTGCTCATTAAATTATGAATTACATGATAGAGTATAAATAGGAGAGACTCCTAACACAACTAGGAATAGAGAATGGAAACTAACTAAAATACAACTTCTACCATAAATAGGATTAGGAAGCTGACTAATAATGAAACACTACCATAACCAATACTACAAGAAGTACTATTAGTATTATTGTCTAACATCCCCCCTCAAGCTGAACTCTGGCTGAAACAAGAGGAAGCTTGGACACTAGCTGGAAACTGAAAACGTTGAGAAGAGAGAAGTCTAACATGCGCCGGTGGCTGCTTACGTCGTTGGAGAAGAGAGAAGTGTGACGCGCGGCGGGCTGCTGACGTCGTTGGAGAAGAGAGAAGTTGACGTGCGCTAGTAGCTGCTGACGTCGATGAAGAAGAGAGAAGGTTGACGTGCGCTTGTAGACGTCAAAGAAGAATAGAGAAGGCTACTGGAGGTACCTGTTTGACTGAAGATCCTTGACATTTTTTTTGTCTTTTTCTTGGATCCGGGCAATGCCCTATTTCCTTCTTGAAGGGGTGAGTTATAGAGGTCTTATTTCCTCTTTCACTACTTCCCCTCTTGGCTTTGCTTTTGTGTTGATTTACTTT